CCCTCTTCTTATTTCCAGCAGCCTTGATGTGAAAATATGTGCTATTTTTATTTATCACATCTTACTATCGTACAAATCTTACAAGGCCGTAATCGGTGCAGAATTTCTGCCCCGTTTTTCACACTCTGCGCTCGTTTGTGCTTTCCTGGCAGTTTTCATCGCTGCTGTTTGATATCTGCCATATCAGCAAATAATCAAAGTCTTTCGATTGTCACAATTCATTCTATTCTTCCTTTTGTGCAAAAAAAAAAGATAAGTTAAATGCTTCCATTTAAATAGAACACAATAGAAATGTAAATAGCCTCATCAACTAATCCACATCTGTTTCTTTGTAATTACCGGATGCATGCTGGTTTGGCCCTGGAATTTTGAAAAGCCAGCTTTTTTAATTAAAACACACACACACACACACACACTCAGGATATAAGCCAGGACAAGAGAAAAGAAAAGTTTAAAAGCTAGATTAAAAGCAGTGGCTCCCTACACAGTATATCTGTGTTTCATTGTTATTCGGCAGCTATCTTTTCCGGCAAATCAAAACAGTTATTTTATCTACATGTAGGAAAGAGTCATAAAAATGTAAAACGAGGATCCCATTTTAATGGCTGATGTTTGCTGAAAAGTGCAGACCAATTTTCTTCAAGTCAGGAGAAAACTCTGCTTACAACAAGGGGCTGAGTTACTGCTACCCTGTATCAGCAGATTTAACAAAACAGCAGTTTTGTTCTCTGAAAGAGGTACAGTAGATAGTCCTTGGCTTGCAAACACTCATTTCCAGTGCTAAGCAAGGCGGTTCTTAAGTGAGTCATCCCCAATTTTATGACCCTTTTCTACCACAGCTGTTAAGCAATAAAGATGATTAGAGAGCTTGAGGCTAAAACATACGGAGAATGGTTACAGGAATTGGGTATGTCTCATCTAGTGTAGAGAAGGACCAGGGGAGACACAATAGCAGTCTTCCAGTACCTCAGGGGCTGCACCAAAGAAGAGGGAATCAAGCTATTCTCCAAAGCACCTGAAGGCAGGACAAGAAGCAATGGATGGAAAAATTAATCAAGAAGAGAAGCAACCTAGAACTAAGGAGAAATTTCCTGCCAGTGAGAACAATTAATTAGTGGAACGACTTGCCTTCAGAAGTTGTGGGTGCTCCAACACTGGAAGTTTTCAAGAAGAGACTGGATAGCCACTTGTCTGGAATGGCATAGGGTCTCCTGCCTGAGCAAGGAGTTGGACTAGGAGACCTTCAAGGTCCCTTCCAAGTCTGTTATTCTGTTATTTGATGCACATCCCATCACAGAGACATCTTCCATGCAAGAAGGGAACCTAACGAGATTGGAAACTGTCTTTTCATGAGTGATGACATGTAGCTATCAGGGAAACAGGAAAAAGTAGACTGAGCTGTCCACAACTCCATCACACACACTTTTAATTTAGAGCAGTGGTTCTCAACCTTTTTAATGCCGTGACCCCCCCCCAACCGGTCGTAAGTCGAGGACGACTCAACCGGTCGTAAGTCAAGGACTACTCAACTGGTGCAGCACCGTTTGCAGAATGGGACTTTTGGCGGGCTCGGCAGGGCAGAGACAGCCTGGACAATTCCTATTGGCTTTGGAAAGCCAATAGAATTAGACTCTATTCAAGAGAGTCTATTCTATTGGCTTTCAAAAGCCAATAGAATAAAAGGGAGGAGCACAGCTAAGGAAAAGAGGAAAAAATGGCGGACTGCGTTGTTTGGCGACCCCCGTGAAATAGTCGTTCGACCCCAAATGGGGTCCCGACCCACAGGTTGAGAACCACTGATTTAGAGAGAGACATAATCTACAACCAATTGTATCCTTCCTAAATAAATGAGCACTTGTAATGAGTTGGGAAGCACCTATCTTTCAACAACGGAGTTGGATATTTCCATAAATTCTATTGTTGTGGCATCATGCTGGAATCTTCCTTGGAAAATTCTCTGTTTCAACTGGTGATGTTTAGATAAACTGAAATGTACTTCTTTCTCCAATTTTGTTCCCATTTTTGCTGCCAATTTTCCGTGAGTTTATTCACCAAACTGAGCTGCTTGTGTAGGCAAGTGGACAATGATTGACACGTATTGGAGAATAAGTAATAGGCTAAACCTCTTGGGTTTTATCAAATCCTTCATCAAATCGAGAAAAAGAGCCAGCAAGAGGCTCCTCCACAATAGACAAAGAAGAGAACAACAAATGAAGCAGTCATTCCATACGTGGTAGGAACACGTATTTTCAGGATTTTCAACCAACACAACATACGCGTACATTTTAAACCCAAGAACACTCTAAAGCAGAAGCTTGCCCACCCCAAGGATAAAACACCCAGACGCAAACTAAGCAATGTGATATATGCAGTACAATACAGTGAGGCATGTGCAGATCTATACATCGGAGAAACAAAACAACCACTGCACAAATGCATGGCGCAACATAGGAGAACAAACCCATCAGAAGAAGATTCAGCAGTCCATCTACATCTGAAAGCAAAGGTCTTTTGAAGACAGCAAAGTCCACATTCTGGACAGAGAGGACCACTGGTTTGAAAGAAAGGTCAAAGAGGCCTCAACAGACGGGGAGGGATACCACACCAGCTATCTCCTGTTTACAACACAGTCTTTTTAGTAGTTCCAAGAAGGTTCCACGCCCATTTGCACTTTTCTGGTGACCCCAAGTGCAGAGATAAACCTCCAAATGGCCTCAAGGGCTCTCAGGGAGAATGCTAATGATCAGATGACCGCAAAGAAATTTGATCCTTTCAATCCCCGCCTCCCCATTCTTCCATCAACACCCCCCCCCATCCTGCCAAAAGCAATGAAGCATCTTGGATAAGAAGTGAAAGGTGTTCAAAGTCCAGCTGCCTGTTGAAAAAAGCGCCTTTGAGACAACTGTGGCCTGGATGACTGAGAAATCTCCACAAGCCACTATCGAGTTTTAACTAACATTATTATGTCTTGTAAAACCAAGATCATAGCATCCGGCCCTCTCAATTCCTGGCAAATAGATGGGGAAGAAATGGAGGTAGTGACAGATTTTATCTTCCTGGGCTCCAAGATCACCACAGATGGGGACTGCAGCCAAGAAATTAAAAGACGCTTGCTCCTGGGGAGGAAAGCTATGGCAAATCTAGACAGCATGCTAAAAAGCAGAGACATCACCCTGCCAACAAAAGTACGTATAGTCAAGGCCGTGGTTTTCCCAGTTGCAATGTATGGCTGTGAAAGTTGGACCATAAGAAAGGCTGAGCGCCAAAGAATTGAGACCTTTGAACTATGGTGCTGGAGAAGACTCCTGCGAGTCCCCTGGACTGCAAGGCGATCAAACCGGTCAGTCCTAGAGGAGATCAACCCTGACTGCTCCTTAGAAGGCCAGACCCTGAAGTTGAAACTCAAGTACTTTGGCCACCTAATGAGAAGGAAGGACTCACTGGAGAAGGGCCTAATGCTGGGAAAAATGGAGGGCAAGAGAAGAAGGGGACGACAGAGAACAAGGTGGCTGGAGGGAGTCACTGAAGCAGTAGGCGTGAGCTTAAATGGACTCCAAAAGATGGCAGAGGACAGGAAGGCCTGGAGGAACGTTGTCCGTGGGGTCACGATGGGTCGGACATGACTTCGCAACTAACAACAACAACATTTTGTCTTGCAGGCCTTGATGTTCGGTCTGGAGTTTCTTGCCAGCTTTGAATCCTGCACATTTGTCTTGTTGATTTGGTTCCCCGTTGCTGCTAAGCCATTGCTTTAGATTAAGAAGCTGTCAGTAGCCAAACCACTATTTCTCAATGCAGTTCAGGGGTCAGGAGATTGCTGATGACACAGCGTGTAGTTTTAAAGCAGCTCCAGTCATGTTCTGTCACTGTTGGGTTTTTTTTTTTTTTGTGGGTCAGCTCCGGAGCAGATTATTCGTGGGTACAAGACTGGCCTTATCGATCTGCATCTTCACCTTATTTGTAGGCAATTTTACTGTCTTTTTTAAAAAAAAATCTGCTCCTATTACAGCTCCTAGTGTGTGAGCCTGTTTCTGATAACCTGTAACAAATAAAGTTGTATCTGCAGCGTCATCTTAGAGGATTCCTGAAATGTGATCCTGGGCGTTATCCCAATTTACACGTGGGAATATGGAAAACTTGGTAGAAATTTTTGTGGGCTGTCAGTGTAAGCACTGCCTATATTGTAAGCATGTTTTTGGTGGGTGGGCATTGCATTTATACTGAGAAGAAAAACAATTGAAACTTTGCTGTGAAAAGAAATGGCGATGTCCCATGTAAAACGACCTCCCATTTCATATGCCTCTTTAGAAGGGGCGTTTAAATATTAATTTCCATAACAAACCTTGGAAAAAAAATTGGGTTGCAGTTAGGAAGAAAAACTAAAGCCGCAGCTCTGTTTACATAGTGGAAGTAGAACATTTTTCACTTCGTCGCCTTCCTTCCGTGCAGTGTAGTTTTCAACTTGAAAATATCTATAAACGTGGAGTAAAATCTTTGAGACCATATTCAAGTGCCAATTTCAGTTTTCTACAAGTCGTCCTTAACTTACAACAGTTTGTTTAGTGACGCTCAGAGTTATAACAACACTTATGAGCGTTTTTCAATTATGACCATTGCAGCATCCCCACGGTCATGTGATCAAAATTCAGATGCTTGGCAACCGACTCATATTTATGACGGTTTGCAGCATCCCAGGGTCACGTGACCCCCTTTTGCGAGCTTCTGACAAGCAAAGTTAGAGCCAGATTCACTTAACAACCATGTTACTAACTTAACAACTGCAGTGAACTGCAGTATGGCAAGAAAGGGTGTGAAATGGGGCAAAACTCACTTAACAAATGTCTCACTTAGCCACAGAAAGTTTGGGCTCAATTTTGGTCGTAAGTCAAGAACAACCTGTATTGTTCCCTATCGTTTTAAGCAATTATCTCAGTAGCTGCAACATCGTTGTTATCTTAAGACAAGATGACTGTGCCTCACGTTGTTGTTGTTGTTTCTAGGTGATGTTATTGTCTACATTAATGAAGTATGCGTCCTTGGACATACCCACGCGGATGTCGTCAAACTCTTCCAGTCTGTTCCCATTGGTCAGAGTGTCAACCTGGTGCTATGTCGTGGATACCCTTTGCCCTTTGACCCTGAAGATCCTGCCAACAGCATAGTGCCGCCACTCACCATGATGGAGAGGCCTCCGGTCGTCATCAACGGAAGACATAACTATGAAACTTATTTGGAATACATTTCTAGAACTTCCCAGTCTGTTCCGGATATAACAGATCGGCCGCCACATTCCTTGCATTCCATTCCAGCAGAGAGTCAGCTTGATAGCACATTCCCACCACCCCTTCATGATGACAACATCTCCATGGCCTCGTCGGGAGCCACTCAAGCTGAACTCATGACCTTAACCATTGTGAAAGGGCCCCAGGGCTTCGGCTTCACCATAGCAGACAGTCCCACAGGACAGAGGGTGAAGCAAATCTTAGATGTTCAGGGATGCCCTGGTTTATGTGAAGGTGACCTCATTGTCGAGATCAACCAGCAGAATGTACAGAACATGAGCCATGCTGAAGTAGTGGATATACTTAAAGAATGTCCGGTTGGAAGCGAGACTTCTTTGTTTATTCATAGAGGAGGTAAGTCTGGGAAGTTTATTCAATTACATTAATTTGTGTGAAAGTTTTAAAACATGCTTCCTATATCAGTGTGTTATGAAATAGAAGGCAGGTACCTCCTTAAATATAGTAGGTGATGGCAATGGTGACCATGATGATGGTGATGATGGTGATGATGATGGTGATCGTGATCATGATGATGGTCATGATGATGGTGATCATGATGGTGATGGTGATGATGGTGATGATGAGTATGATGGTGATCATGGTGATGATGGTGGTGGTGATGATGGTGATGGTGGTGGTGATGTGATGATGATGGTGATCATGATGGTGATGATGGTGATCATGATGGTGATAATGGTGATGGTGATCATGATAATGATGGTGATCATGATGGTGATGATGTTATCCATTCAGTCATGTCCAACTTTTGACGACTCCATGGGCCAGATCTCTCCACATCTTCCAATTGTGCACTACTTCTTTGATGTCTATGGAAATTCTCCGTTATCCAGGTCATGGTGGTCCCAAAGTGCTTTTTCAAGAGGCAATTGGACTTTGTTTCTCCTTGAAGACATTTCACTTCCCATCCAAGAAGCTTCTTTTCTTCAGGGGTCTTCAAACCTGGCCCTTTTATGACTTGTGGACTTCAACTCCCAGAATTCCTCAGCCAGTGTGCCTGACTGAGGAATTCTGGGAGGGGTCTTCAGACTTGGTCCTTTTATGACTTGTGGACTTCAGCTCCCAGAATTCCTCGGCCAGCGTGCACATTGGCTGAGGCATTCTGGGAGTTGAAGTCCACAAGTCATAAAAGGGCCAAGTTTGAAGACCCCTGCTCTAACTGGATGATGTTTGATATAATCCATATTACAAAAAATAAGTTTCAGATTTTTACCCTTATCCGGCTGGCACGAATACATGAATGCTCACATCCATAAGTCATTTATAAACAATTACTACAGATTAAATTTAATTAGAAACTATCCTGAGGAATTAAAATTAATCAAACCTACTCGCAAAGGGAAAGAAATCCCATTGCTGTCTACAAATCTAGAGAAACAATAAACAGACTTTGGATGACTTGTTTAACATCCTGGAAACTGATAGAGAGGTGATCTTGACTTAAAACAGTGGATTTAGCGACTGTTCGAAATTACAACGGCATTGAAAAAAGGGACTTTTGACTATTTTTCATACATATGACCCACTGCAGCATCCCCAGGGTCGTATGATCAAAATTGCTCACCAAGTGGTTCCTATCTATAAGTGTTGCAGCATCCAAGGATCACGGGATCCCCTTTTGGGACCTCTTGACAAGCCAAGTCAATGGGGGAAGCCGGATCCACTTAACAACCGGGTTAATAACTAATCAACTGCAGAGATTCCCTTAATAACTGTGGCCAGAAAAGTCATAAAACGGGGCAAAACTCATTTAACACATGTCTCACTTAGCAACATAAATGTTGGGCTCCGTTGTGACCGTAAAAGGTGATTAGGGGGCTGGAGGCTAAACCATATAAAGAATGATTACTGGAATTGGGTATGTCTAGTTCAGGGGTAGGCAACCTTGGCTCTTTTATGATTGGTGGACTTCAACTCCCAGAATTCCTGAGCCAGCCACACTGAGGGAAAAGGGAGAGGTTTCCAAGCTGAGCCATGCTGGCTCAGGAATTCTGGGAGTTGAAGTCCATGAGTCAGAAAGCGGCCTAGGCCTAGGCCAGAGGTAGGCAACCCTGGCTCATTTATGACTCGTGGACTTCAACTCCCAGAATTCCTGAGCCAGCCATGCTGAGGGGAAAGGGAGAGGTTTCCAAGCTGAGCCAGGCTGGCTCAGGAATTCTGGGAGTTGAAGTCCACGAGTCATAAAAGAGCAAAGGTTGCCTAACCTGCCCTAGGCCGCTTTATGACTCGTGGACTTTAACTCCCAGAATTCCTGAGCCAAGCCTGGCTCAGCTTGGAAACCTCTCCCTTTCCCCTCAGCATGGCTGGCTCAGGAATTCTGGGAGTTGAAGTCCACGAGTCATAAAAGAGCCAAGGTTGCCTACCTCTGGTCTAATTTAACGAAAAGAAGGACCAGGGTTGACAGGATATCAGTGTTCCAATATTTGAGGGGCTGCCATAAAGAAGAGGGAGTCAACTTATTTTCCAAAAGACCGGAGGGCAGGACAAGAAACAATAGATGGAAACTAATCAAGGAGAGAAGCAACTTGGAATTAAGGAGAAACTTCCTCCTAACAGTGAAAACAATTAACTAGTGGAAAAGCTTGCCTTCAGAAGTTGTGGGTGCTCCATTAGTGGAGGTTTTCAAGAAGAGACTGGACAACAATGAAATGGTATAGGATCTCCTGCTTGAGCAGGGGGTTGGACTAGAAGACCTCCAAGGTCCCTTCCAGCTCAATTTTGATTGATTGATATTAATTGGTTGGTTGATGATCATAAATGGACTCATTTACAGTGGTGATACGTTCATTAGTGGAAGTCCTGAAATACCAGCTTAGGAATTGATCCCTGCCTGAGTAACATGTACAGTATATTTCCTTAACATAATCACAAAGGGGTTGAAAGATCTTAAATACTTGCAAAATATTTAGCTCTTTTTTATTGACTCTTCCCTCTATTGTCTATTGATCACTCAATTGTGCCTTATGCTTCTGTTCTTCCTGTCTTGGTTATCAGAAATGTTAAGTGTCAAAATGCATCTGTTGTATAAACAAATAATGGTGATTTAATTTTACAATTGAATTAACGATGGGAAATCTTCTCTGATTAATGATCCCCTTCCCCCCATTATTCCTGTTTCTTCCCTCATTTCTCAATTGAACAGAATTACAGAATAACAGAGTTGGAAGGGATCTTGGAGGTCATCTAGTCCAACTCCCTGCTCAGGCAAGAAACCCTATACCATTTCAGACAAATGGCTGTCCAGTCTCTTTTTAAAAACTTCCAGTGTTGCAGCATTCACAGCTTCCGAAGGCAGGTTGTTCCACTGGTTAATTGTTCTCACCGTCAGGAAATTTCTCCTTAGTTCTAAGTTGGTTTTCTCCTTGATTCATTTCCATCCATTGTTTCTTGTGTTGCCTTCTGGTGCTTTGGAGAATAGTCTGACCCCCTCTTTATCCAATTCCACTCTCAGCTGCCCATTCAAGTTTTGCTAAACTCTTTTGGAGCAATTGTGAACAATCGGCAAAGGGTTAAATAAATCATTTTTATCTAGAGACTCTAGAAAGAGGACAGAGAAAAGCAACAAACATGATTAGGTGACTGGAGGCTAAAGCATATAAGGAACGGTTGCTGGGGTTGGGTCTGTCTAGTCTAATGAAGAGAAGGACAAGGGGGGACAGGATAGCAGAGTTCCAGTATCTCAGGGGCTGCCCCAAAAAAGAGGGAGTCAACCTATTTTCCAAAGCGCCTGAAGGCAGGACAAGAAGTAACGGATGGAAACTAATCAAAGAGAGAAGCAACCTAGAACTAAGGAGAAACTTCCTGACAGTTAGAACAATTAACCAGTGGAACCACCTGCCTCCAGAAGCGGTGAATGCTCCAACACTGGAAGTTTTTAAAAAGAGACTGGACAGCCATTTGTCTGAAATAGTATAGGGTTTCTTGCCTGAGCAGGGAGTTGGACTAGATGACCTCCAAGGTCCCTTCCAACTTTATTATTATTACTATTATTATTATTATTATTATTATTATTAATAATAATAATAATAATAATAATAATAATAATAATAATAATAATATATTCTATCTTCCAATGAGGAGATTGTTTCTGGCGGTTGGACTAGATGACCTCCAAGGTCCCTTCCAACTTTATTAATAATAATAATAATAATAATGATAATGATAATAATAATAATACAAGGTAGGATATTATGTTGACCTCTCTCCTCTTCCCTATCAATTCTATCCCTATATTAACAATTAATAAACTTAACTAAAACGACAATAGTAAAATATATATATATAGCATAAAATCCTTGCAACTTTCCTTATTTTTTTTTCTCTCGTTTATCTATAACTTTCCATGTTTCTAAACTGCAGGCTCCAAAACGTGTCCTTTTGTTTTAATTTTGAGAGTCAAACCAGTCCTTTCAATATCCAAGGTCATCTTCTCTTATTCATTAAGGGACCATTCCTTAAATTTATTAGAATTTTGTCTTACAAAAAGTTGAAGTAGAGTCTCTCTTCCTCCTAGCTTCCGTCTAATTAATTTGAAAAAAAAGCCCCGCCTGTATCACATTCTATTGTATTAAAATAATTCTTCAACAAAAGGTTTAAATTCTTTCTTTCTCTTCTCACTTTGAAGGGCTAATATCATTTCTTTAAAAAACAACAGCATTTAATCCCCATTTTAGTTATCCCTTCCAACTCATGAGCTCTTTGCACAATTTTGTCTCCTGCACAAGCTTTTGTAAATCTTATTATGACATATTTTGGCTCTTACAAAGGGGAGAAAAAATCTCATTGACACATTTATATTCATTGCAGCAAGCTAGCTGATCCCCTGTGGATTCCGCTGGTCAAAAGGAAAAAGCACAACAGAACACAGGCTCCACCCCTTTTACACACCATCTCAACACCCAGACAAAAAGGTGGAGCTTTTGTCGTTTGTGTTTGCCATCTACCACATCCCACCTTAGCAAGGAACATTTTTAATTTACTCTTTTTAATTTTCGGTCGCCATAGGGAAAAAAAATATATAAGAATTGTTCAAGACTGAGATAGGGAAGGTTTTAATCATGTCTTCTGGAAAGGATCTCTGTTCATTTGATTAACAAATTGATTTTTTGTTTTGTTTTACTACAGTCTTTCTGATGATACCTTTTCCCCTTGCCAGATTATTCCCTTTTTTTAATTGCTGTTTTATTCTGTATCTCTCACGTCGTGACAACTGCTCTTGTCAAATCACTTCTCTTCAAATTGGTTTTTCAAAACAGGGATGAATTTGGCACATTATACGACACTTGTGGGAGAAAGGTTTTCATTATTTCACTCGCTCAAATTGCTTCCTGAGTTAT